TAGATTCTTATCTTCTAACACGGTGTTTCTAATTTGATTAATACATGTAACACATGCCCCTGCTTGTTTGAACGATTTCGAAAGTGTGAATGATTAAAACAAGCAGCGCGAAGCAAGTGGCGAGAAACAAGCGTTCGCCAAAATTTCGTCATTAATCACTTTTCTAGCAGCACTCTACTCAGGTGCACGAACAGGTAGCTAACACCACACACATCGCCTGGAATATTATATGGAGTTACAAATTATACGTATTGAATTAAAAATGTGTACAGCCCTACCGCGAAATGCGATGATTAATGAAGAGGCCAACTTTCATTTATTAACTTATTAAATGTAATAATAATAATAAGCAAAAGCATAGTATTTATTTGATGTTATTGTTGTATTCACTTTAATTTTTACACAAAAAATCAATGTTAAAACTTTAATCAAAAAGTTCGCACGTGAAGCATGCTCTTTTGAGTGCATGTCAATTTGTTGACAGTGAGTCCATCATGCATCACATTACTGACGCCATCTCATGGTATAAATAAGTGGTAACCACTTTTACATTGCATGGTTTATCCATTAGGTAGGTGAAAAATACAACGTACAATTAGTAAAATTAAATTTTGCAAATAAAAGTTCGATCCTATTCAATCTGGAATACTATTTACGAAATAATAAAAGCTCTTGTTTTCGAACAAAAATCGAGTTGTTTGACCGACCGAATGTGAACTTAATTAAGAAAAAAGTACACAACAAACAATAATAATATATATTTACATTCGAAGCCGGAAAAAATGAATAAAAAAATGTAACAAGCAATAACATCAAACCGTAATAATATAGCATATATGTGGCAGTGGTTACTGTAGATATTACACATGCACCTCTCACTCTTGCCTACTATTGAGTATGCTCGTGTGCGTACGTGAAAAGTCTTTTTTGTGTGGCATTTTGTGCAGCGGCAGCGCAGAGCGCGCGCGGCTTTATGAATAATTAAAGTGCGCGCAGGTAGATATTTTTTTCAGGTTTTGTTTATAATTAACACTCTCCATTGAAACGTGGAAACGAATACATGAGCGAACGCGCGCGCGCGGCGACGGTATTGGCGGCGCTGCGGCGCGCTGCCTTTTTATTCTCTTTTTGTACAATATTAATTCGGTTTCCTTTTATCGAAAGGCCACTCGCACTGATCGCCCCGCGCTGCCAGCGCCATTTCGCGAAATGAAGCGATTTCGGACACGGCTTTGCGCTCCGGCTCGTGGCATACACATAGTGCCAACGCAGCACCAGCAGCGGCCGTTCTACCGAACGGCAATGAATAATTAATTTAATTTTCGTATATTTTTCTCCTCATATCTATACTCCTACACTTGCACTCACACGTGCGAGGTACACACGTCAAGCGCGCATTTTTTAATCTTCGTTTTGTCGTTTGGGGATTTTTCACACGAGGCGAAAAGAGATGGGCGAGAGCGAAACGTAAAAATAAAATCGCCGAAATCGCCATCCATTACAATAATTAGAGAGAAATTTGCCTCCCCGCCGCCCCCGCGTCCTGAAGCGCATGTGATCGGGGTTGACTGAATTACTAAGGGGCGCAGAGTGGAGGGCAATTTTTGGCTGCAAAAAAAAACGCGCGATACGAACCGTGCCTACGCCCAAGTATGGGCGGCGTACGTGCGCACTTTTTGTAATTTCATATCCATACTCCCCGATATGAAAATATGAACGCGCTGGCCCTCCACCTAGCCGCCATCTGATCGCGGCGGCGAATCGACGCGAAGAGGAGCGAACAGAGAGGACATGTGAGGGCTAGTAACATTCAGTGCTGCCCCACGATTCGGAGGATTCGCGGACTTACGCGGTATGAGGTCGTCAAAAATTGGAGAGCGGGCATGTCAATTTATTTCATGGTAATTGGAAAAAATTTAAATTTTTTCTGCCGAGCATGCATGCGTATGTAAATCGGGGTTGCTTCCGTATTTTTTACACATCCTCGATATATCAAAGTAGATGTAACGTCAGTAGCTCTACAAACTGAATCACAATGTACGTGACGCACTTTTCTGATTTGGTTGCACAGCACCAAAGATTAACTTTGTTCTTATTTGGCAAGTTATGATTCGGCGTATTTTTCCGGGTCAGCATATAATGGGCGCGCATTTTCCGTGTGACATTTTTCGGCATTGTGCGCGTCTCTTATCACACATTTAAAAACGAAACCGAAATTATGTCATTCTCATATATTTGCCCCTTTTTTTTGCGGCGCTCATGCGTCGTTCCACAACATTCATTTCGAAGCGTCATGCTGTGAGCTCGAGCATACACGCTACATATTTTAGGGGGCGGGGGCGTTCGGGGTGTTGAATGCGCGCCGAAATATTGTTGAAAATATTTCCGCTGTTCACACCGCCTGCGTGTATGTGCGTGTGAGAGTGCCAACAACGCCGCAAAAAAAAATAATTTCATCATCTAGAGAAAAATACATAAATTATTCAGCCGAAACGAAAAAAGTACTTTGTGTGTTAAACCCGAAGCGCGCGTGATAACATCCAATGTGGAGTGTGCGGGAGGCACACAGGACTACAAATATGTAATGACACAACGTGAAAATGCAAAACATTACAACGCAAAATAACATGAAAAAAAAACGCAGGGCCTAAATTAAAAATTCACAAACTCTCGAAATTGAGTTACTTACTTAATTCCAGTGTGCAATGTTTGAATCAAATAGAAAAACTAGATGGCACGTGCCACAAAACACAAGTGTTGCACCATGTGAAAGTGGTGCAAACGTGACCCCTGTGACCTCTCCTCTCGCAACTGAAACGATTTTCTAACGGGCTACTAATAGGTCATCATGGTGTGATGGTGTACTGTTCACGCAGTAGACAAGAGGGGCTGTACGCTAGAAACCGCCGAGGGTGGCATCGCGCCCGCCCCGAGCTTGGTTGCACTATGAAAACGAACCCTTTGTACGAAACAAAAATGATATTAAAGAGCGCGTGCAGCGCGAAACTAGGCTCCCGCTAGCCAATCGCCAACGGAACGCGCCGCTAAAGTAATCTCCGGATGGCGCAGAATTATTTTATCCATAGACAATATTCCGATATTCAATTAGGCATTACGGGAAGGGAATTTAATGCGATTATACTTTGAAAATTTCGATTTTTGCCTGCGTTGCACTGCGCTCTACACGTTTCGAAACGAAACTGTAACTTCGTATAGATTCTTTCATGTCCTCTTTGAATGTCACGCGAAAGAGACGATAATGGAATTAAAATTCGTCATTTTTCCATTTTCATCGTGTCGCGCTTCTTGCGAACCCAACACAAGATTTAATTAACATCGTGATAACGCTGTAATACGAATAAGTTTGAATAAGAGGTTATGTACAACATCAAGCGGTGCGGTCCGGAAATGTCAACATTTGCGCGCAAAGTATTACAAATGTTCATTCTTATAAAGTGTAAAAAAATAAATAAATCACATCTGATAATCCGTATTATTTCGCTGATGAATGTTTGATTAATACTTGGGCATTAAATATTTTGACAATGTAAAGCACCGTCCGATGTGTCTAGGGTGGTCGGTAGGTGACGTTAAGAAAAATGCCATCCGTTTTGAAGTTCAATTGTACATGGTAATTGCAAAATTTGTTGTAATTCATCATGCGTCCACCAACAACGCAACCAAATTTCGGGTCAATCGGTGCTGATTTATCAGCACAAAGCGAGTGCGTATCTTCGACGCCAGCGCCCTGCGGGCTGCCGCCGGGTTAAATCAGTACATCGCGTCCGCCCGCTAAACATATAGCGGTTTTTTTAGATTTTAAATTGAACGACAGAATGAAATGAAGCCGTGACTAATTTATCACCCCGGCCACAACCGCGCGCCGCCGCCCACCACCCGCCCCGCAATGACAATGCTTTTGTTTCGAATAAAACATTCATATTTTTTATTTCGCCACACGCATACGCAAATATGACGGCAGAGTGTGGCCAAAGGGTGGTGGATGTCCGACGGCCTCTCGCATTGTCGCTCTCCTCTCGCCACGAAAAATAACAAACGTCCAAATATTTCCCACTTATCAGGTGGGGTACAATGTATCCGTGGCGGTTACAACGCTTTTCGGCACAGAGATACACGCAGAGATATATCTGTCCGAATGACGTTTATAATAATCCAAAAATATATTTTCGAAAAACCCGAGCGCTTTTTGTTTTTTCAGCGGGGGCGAGCGCGTGCGGTCTCGCGGGTGGGAGTCGTCGACGGTCCCCCCACGACTCGTCACCGCGAGCTTTTCACATGAAGGCAAAGCCCTCCCTTTGTTATTTGCACGCGCACCCACACACACACACAAACACACATGTCGTGGATCCGCAACACGGGAAAAAATACATACATTCATTATTCATGCAAAAGTGGGGGACGAGTGTAATCAAAACAAATCGCGTTTCGCACAGCAGACCCACTGCCCTAGCAGGAGCGCGGCGAGTTCAGTAATAACTGCCCTCGCCGTTTCGGCCGGCGGCGTATCCCTCAAACCATGCCCTGCCCTGACGCACGATGGCGTTGGGTGTATGGGCCTCACACTGACCACCAGAGTCGGCGCGTGTACACTTGCAAACGTATGCACGGCGCAGGACCTTAATGCGAAGGGATTCGCGTCCTCGACGAATCGGTTGACGTGGCCAGTATGCAGGCCACAAGTTCATCCCTGGCCTTTTTGCCGTTGCTGCGGTGTGGCAAAACTAATACAACTAATTTCATTATGGATTCAAATCCAGACAAATGAGTAACGTGCGAGGCAATGACCTTAAAATCACAGCACGTGCCTAGGAAGCGATTTTTTCAATTTTCTCAATTATAAAAAATCAATCACTTTCTCAAACTAGTAAACCTAAAACTTTTGATGTGGCCCCGTCCCAGGTTATAAAAATTTAAATTATTTTGATAAATTTTACAAAATTATCTCAAAATAGAGGGAAATCAATTTGTTTAATACTTACATTTTGTACTAGAATTTTGTGGAAGTTCACAATCTGAAAAATAGAAAAGAAAAAGTTCTGGTTAGTTTATTTATCTATTTTTTACTCAAGACGAAATAACAGAATTAGCAAGTATTTAAAAATGAAATATAATAGCGATAAAAACCACTGTTACAGTTAATATGTAGTTTTACAACACCTTCATAATAACTTGATGCCCCTAAGTAAAAACTACATTCGTGAAGCATACACCTGAACTTATGACATGGTTCCAGAACCGTTGGTCTGTTTCTACTACTATTCATTGTGGCAGCAATAACACCGTAGCCTCCATCTCACATGAAAAAATTAGGAGTTGACATGATCAGCAGTGGTAAAATGGAAACGTTATGAGTTTTCGCTCGGTTTCGCATACTTGTGCGCCGCGCGAATAGGAAGGAAGCACTCCAAGCGACCGCGCGCGCCACAGCCACGGCGTGCGATTTCGATTGAACCCCCACGGGGGCGCCGGGCGGCCGGATTGACAATTTGTATCCATTATATTTATGTATTTTTAGTAAGCCGGAGGTTTGAGCGCGACTCGATTGCAGGGTGGGCCGCTTTTTGATATTTGGGAATAACGCTCAAGGCCCCAAGGCTTGATTGAGTGCCCCCTCGTACTCACACTCGTGCCGCGCCGCCTCCATCTAGCGACCAATACCCGGACGGCGGGGACAAATCGCCACATCGCGCTCAACTTGCGAAATGGAAAATATTACTAAACGTATTTCGAATTTTGCGTTTCCTCTTCGACGTTTTCACATACACCGCGCACCAACCGGATGCACAATGTGCGCATTCAATGGCGGCATCAAATCTTAGTTCGAGAACACATTGTATGCATGTGAATTTTTTTGTTTGTATAAATTCGTGTCCGATGGTGGGTGGGGCGTTGTGTGTGCATTGCGACGAACGGGGCTGAACGGGGTATTTGTTGCTCACCGCTCCCATTCGCCGGAGTTGTTCCGATGGCTTCGGTTCGAAATGAAAATTACAAAAAAATAAATTGCCGCCGCGCAATGCATACACATACATACACGCGCGGGCGTGCACACAGTAGGACGGTTTTTAATTTTTAAATTCCGAATATGCGCCGGACTTTCGCCCGTCCGGGTCGCGGCTTCGCGTCGCCGTGAACGCGGAACCTTCGGAGACCTGAATTTTTTACGAAATCGAATTTCAATTTTACCATTTCATCAAGCCACACACAAATCGCCCCTACCACTCGCCGCTCCTCCAGTCACCCGCCCGACACTACGCATTGCACCGCGCCGCCCCGCGCCTACACTTAATTGAATTAACAGGAATGCGCAATAAAAGTTGAAAAATTAAAAAGACGAAAATTCCACCCTAGCTCGCATAATTTGCACTTTTCCACACCTTCGCAGCGTTTTTCTCTTCTTGATTAATTTAATAATTAATGGCGTGCCATTGACTGCGTTCAAATTTCCCCCTCTTTTTGGGTATTCTACAAAATATTCGTGGTGAAGAAAAAAATAAAGATTTCGCGAGGTAAACTTTAATTAATTCCAACTTGGTGAATGCACGCATGTGCGCACAACGGTAACATGTACGCACTCTCAACCCCTCGCGCAATATCAGCCGCCCTCCTTCAGGTTACGCTGAAATATCAAAAGCAAACTTACTTATTAATTATTATACGCCGTTACGCAGTCGTAGGCGAATTAAATATTTATTCGTCGAATTTAATAATTAATGCGAAGGCGAAAATTAAAAAAAGAACGTCAGCGGCTCTTCCTGGTATCAACTAACTTTAAACATAGAGTTAAAGTTGCAATAAAAATTCTAGGTACAGCTACCACAAAGATACATATGCACCGTATAATTAAAAATATCCCAACAAACACTTGACGATTTCCTTACAGTTGTATTATATCCGATGGTGTTGTTAACAAGCTGAAATTTTATTAAACTCAAAAAAGAGCTTTATGTTTTTTTGTGTTTACTCTGGCAGCGAATGTTCCGACACCCCTCGACCGCAAAAAGCGCGAATGGCAAGCACTCAATATAAAATATACAAACACGAAAAAGCAAATATCGTAAAAATAAATTAATATTAAAATGCGGCCGGTCGATGAGTGGCAAGAGCGGAAAGAAACACGGATCTTTTTTTTAAATTTTTGAGTGACTGCGAATACGCAAATGCCAAACGGGAGCGATGAGTTGTCGAAATGGAAAAATTGCGTTAGGCGAGCAACAAAAGTCACCGTCCGCATCGACATCAAAGCTAAAAGCCGCATTAAAAGCCCACAAATCATATAAATGCCATTAATATTAATACTTCTAGTCTAAAACGTAAAATAATACAACTGTAAGTGCGCGACATTGACGTTTTGTATAAGGGCATGTTATTTGAGTTGCCTATACCTACGCCCATTTATGCGTCATCTACGATTGAGGTTAACATACGTAACAGAATAAAAATTTCGACGCTGACTTTTTAAATTAAATTTTTATTGTACGAGCATGAAAAAAATAACACAGGCGCGCTTAAAAAGATCAATTTTATATCTAAATTTATTGGCATTAAAAATAGAATCGAAAAATTAATTAAAAATACAGATTTACAATCACGTTTTATGCACGCGCGCGTATTTTTTTCAATTTTAATGCCGGCCGGTCACAACTCGCATGTTATTTTCGATAAAAATGTACTGCTGTCGGTTTATACATTGGCAATATAAATAATTTTTCATCGAAGCACACTAACAAATATTTTGAATTCAATTTGGGTTTAGAGCGGTTTATATTTATTCAATTTCAACGCCGACGAATGCGTGAGCATGTACGCGCACCTCGGCGCTCTTTTTAATAGTTTAAAAATTAATAAAATAACACGAAACGAAATAAATCAAATTAATAATTGGATTTAATTTCACGGAACGCCGTTGCAATTGCTTATTACGCTGCGCCGTGGATTGGAACACCGCATGTAATTTCAATACGTTTTATTACATTTTATATTTTCGAATCAAAACACTGCGCAGGCAGTGGTTTGAGAAAACAATTTAAATATAAATAGTAATATTGTACAAATCTGATTAAAAACGCATCAAAATTTTATTGCTATTAATTCCATCCATTCGAATCCATCATGAAAATCATTAAATTTATTGTTTTTTACGACTGCGGCCGCGCATTTCACGCTGCGAATTATAGCATTAACCTCAAAACAAATCTACTCGTGCTGTGGCGCGGAAAACTGAGAAATTAATTAATAAGCCGGCGTAATATTCAAATCTTCACATCAGACCACCAACACGTATTTTATCTAGCTGTGAAGTGCCACACAAATCGACTGTGTGCGATGCACACAGGTGTTAACTGTTGTTGTTTTTTAACCGTCGCTTTGTTAACCTCGCACGCGTCGTTTACACTTAACAATAGATAATAGAAACCGTTCACACTCGTGCATGAAATATAAAATAAATGTGATATAAATACCCCGATCGGTGGATCGTAATGCTAGAATGGAGAGACAAATTGTTTCCGCACAATTCGATGCAAATGCACGTTAGTGGAACATGACATGACACACAATACACGGTGCACGTATCATGTTATAATTGTTATAGAATTGTGGCATAATCAACAATAAGCTATAAATAGTGTTATATTATTGATTGTTTTGGTATGTATTACTTACTTCTGTTGGAAAGTGAGAAATATTTGATTAAATTAATTCATGCCGAAAACATGCTTCAGGGTATTGTGACTAATGGCGCCAACTATGGAACAATAGCGCCATTAAATTCCAAGCTGGTCGCACACGAAGTTCCGTAGTTGCAAATTGGAACAGTAAAAGTAGATGTAGTTCTACAAACTGCAATCTAAAATTTTCAGAAAACAATCATGTACATTACTTGTTTTTAATTTTCAGTGTTGTAGTTTTTACAGTTTTTAGTTAAACCAACGAATTTCATATAATTGTTCGTGTAACGATTTCGACACAGTCGTGAATTCATAGTGATAACATACACGCGCACCGTACGAGTCAAATATGTTTTTCCGTGCCTCTATAATAATGCGTTTATTCCATAACTAATATTACAATTATAATAAGGGCCCCCGGCGCATAGTGCCATTGTTGTATAATAGTTATGCAATAGCCCATTATGTGCAACGGTGTTGTCAACTTGCGAATTTTGTTTAATAAGCGTCGATAAAGAATAATATACCACACACATCGTTAAAAATTCACACGGATTCGGTCTTTCAACGTAATGTTTGTTTTGATTCCACGGCGCCCACGCGAATATGATTATTTTTACAATATTTCGACATCTTCAAATTGAAACGATACTTTCCGAGTGTGGGAAACAGCAGAAATCACACTGAAAATAGCCCCGATGCATTCTAGCGTACTAATTAAACCCGCTGAAACATTAACGTGCTACCCAACTACTTATGCCCGCTCCTTCCTTCCTCGTAGGCATTGGGGTAGTTGGGCGGCAGTTTGGTTGCAGCGGCAACGGCAATCAATAGATACAACCCTAACTAAACTAAACTAAATATGCATCGTTCGTACGATCCGGCCTTGTAACACGGTGAAACATGCCGAACGTACGAAATGTAGTACTAAACGTAAGTGCTCGCCGCCGCCGCCGCTGCCACCGCGCTTAGGCCGATTTCGAATCTTGGTGTTAGTGCGTGCACAGCAAACGTAGAAACCCACCGCCGCCGTGCACTCGCTTGATCACTGTGTGTGCGCGGACGTACATATTTCGAACGTGTTCTGCTTAATTTATTTCGGATAAATACTATATAAGCTTTAATTATAGTTGAGCGAGAATTATAATTACCGCCCAAGATTTGTGGCCCGTATAGGAAATGTGTGGCAACATTAATAATGATGAGAAATACGCTCGGCTACCACCTTCCTCCTTCGCCGACGGCCGCGCCGCACCAACAGATATAAATATCGAACAATATCTCTAATGTCTTCCACTGCTAAGTGATAGTTTAAGTTAAATCTAAATCTTTAAAGAGAGCGC